AAATTGACAGTTATATGTATTATAGCTTTTTCAAGAACTATATTTATGGCTATTGCAATCAGAGACAATTAACACATAAACAAGCTGGTAAATATTTTTTTGACATTTTAAGGACTATGCTTATGGCTCTCACAATAAAGAATAAATAAATAACACATACAAGCTATTGATAAGTTGATATGGATAATTTTACTGAGTAAAGTCTCTTATACAGATAACAACAAATTCAATAGTTCAAAACAAATTATTTAAGCATGAAGCTAAATATGGAAAAGGGGAAGATACTAATAGTTATCAAAGGACAGAAAGATCTATTACCATTAAGAGAGCTTGGCAAATAGCAATGACAATCACTCCTTGGCTTCCAGCTAAGTGGAAACCAGGGATACCAAGGTAGTCCAGTGTTTCTCCCTGGTGAAAATTAGAGAGCAGGACAAAGAGAAGTCATTAACATTTATTTCGACACATAATTCTTGAATAATCAGGTAGTTAGACCTATCAGACATGTCGTAATCCTTTGTAAACCTAAGCACATGAATACAGAAAACAGAGACCTTCTCCATAACAATGATGACAAGCTAGTGATCAACTAGGCAAACCAAACTTCACTAAGAGGATCAATTAACTGTTAAAATAATTAAAAATATACAAGAAAACATACCACCTCTGATGGGCAGTTGGTGCATCGACAGAAAGATACAAACCTTAAGCTTTGAATAGCCAACACGCCACCAAACAGGTTCAGCAAAGTGAAAGGTTCCTAAGAGATCTAGTACTTCTGGAACTAGGGCACCAAGTGATGCAAGCATTGCCCAACGAGCATGTAATATTTCGAAGCTGGAAATAATAGAAGCAATCATTCAACTACAAGAACAAAGAATGAATTCGAAGATCATTTATTGCTAATCAAGTCAATATGGTCTCTGATTTACAAGGTTTCGAAATTAGAATATATTCAGAGGATTTATACATATGACTCCAGTTAAACATGACACACAAGAAACATATCCAACAAGCATCCACACATTGTGGATAATGACTAATTTATTTAAGTAGATGACTAATAATATAAGAATAAATTTGTCATTAATATAACCAGGGTCAGCAGTGCCATATATTAAAAGTTGAGAAATGTAATTTATATCACAACCAAATTATCAGAATTAATTCAGATAAATAGATGAATAATCATGAAGAAAATCAGGGAGAGAAAAATTGTGTGACAAGGAAAAATCCTCCAATTTTCTTCCCAAATTTCATGGGTACAAATGTGCCAAATATATAAGCTTTTGGCCAAAACAAAAACGGTTAAAAGATACTAACTAAAAAATTAGTGGAGAGAGCACTAAGCTGTCCTAACAATACCAACTGTCCTAACCACTTGAGAAAAGACTAAGCTGTCCCTAATATAAGTATACATATATATATACATTCCTACATATGAACATTCTACACTCTCCCTCAATTTAGGTTACATAAATGTTAAACAACCTTAAATTGGATACAAAATTATTGAACTCCCTTTTTAGCAGTGCCTTGGTGAGTATGTTAGCTGTTTGTTGACTAGTTTGGATGTATAGGAGTGACACATCCGGACTTTTAATTTTTTCTCTGATGAAGTGACAATCAATCTCAATATATTTAGTTCTGTTATGGTGCACAGAGTTCTTGACCATACTAATAGTTGATTGATTGTCACACCAAATTCTCAATGCAATAGGAGCAGAAAATTTTAGTTCTAATAGAATCTTTTTAAGCCATACTCTCTCACATATTTCATGTGCAAGTGATCGTAATTAAGCTTCAGCGCTACTTTCTGATACAACAAATTAATTCTTACTACGCCAAGTGACTAAATTACCCCAAACATAAGAGCAGTAACCGGATGTGGATCTTCTATCTAGCACAAATCCAATCCAATCAGCATCAATAT